CGCTGGTGCTCACAATGCTGGCGCACGCTCAATGTCCTCATACTGATTACGCTAAGTATGGCTGCACCCTGAGAAAGTAAAGAACAGCAGAGAAGGAGCGAGCCGCCTGTTTTTAGCGAGCAGATATATGTTAAGGTAAAAACGGCAGGCTGCTATCAAATCATAGTGTCGCTCAACGCCACCAAACCCTTTACATTAGGCAGTAAGCAAAGAAAACCGATGCTTACTGAAGAGATTTAACCGCCTATTTGAAAAGGTTTCCTATAGCACTACTCGATGAAGACAATGTTTGTTGATCGAAATGGTTCCCGAATTATAGTCATAGTAAAGAGCTGCTCGCGTTGCTCGAGATCCAGTAGCGGGAAGTATGGGAGACTAAGAGGGACACCACGGACCACTCTGCACAAATTTTACTAGAACTAGACGAGGTTCCACTGATGACTTTCGGATGAACTAAGCATGTTGCCCTACTACGAGCTCACATATTCTACCAGCCCCTGACACAAGCTGCTGAAAGTTATAACCCTTCAAATGAAAGCTAGAGAGAAGCAGTCTATTATCCATACTGTAAAGGATAAAGGATAAAGTCTTCGCCGTTGATCAATCCCTTTGTGGGATGCGGCACGCATTCTACTTCCATTCAGAATCGTAGTGGCTTATTGAATGCGATGTGGCCTATAATGACTTGCGGGGGCCAGCCGATGTACAAGTCAGTGTTGTTATCCTCCCAGACGAAATTGGTAGCAATTATACGTCCCGGGAAGATAGACGTCTCGGCTAGATTAGACGGTAGCCGATTCGGGATTTTATGCCCCAACTGTAAGCGTGCCACTTGCACTACACCACGTCAGCCTCATCTATTTCATATTACACTTAAAAGGGGCTAACATGTGAATGTTCAGTACAACGCTCATCACAAACCAAATCGGCCAACTTACATTAAATTCAAACAGCTTCGAAAATGTGAACACTTACTTCACAGATGTTAGTTGACTCAACTGGTCTCTGGTGTCTTTGTCGAAATAGACGCTTTCATTCATCCACAAGACAGGGAAAGTAATGTTATACATGTCGGCCAAGACACTAAAAATTCATATTGGGAGTATTGAAAGTAACTCCACCTGCTTCTCATGTGCCATCTCAAAACGACTGACTTGAGGTTTCCTTTTACCATTCCAACATTGATTTGTGTGACTCTCTGCGCATGTATTGGCACACCACTTAATGGTTCTATATCCACATATGTTTGATCTTTCTCTCCTTTGCGCTTTTATGCTTGATGGATGATAGACCTGGATTTAAGGAGAGGATCAGAATTCCAAGGAGAAGGTTGTGTCAGGGGTGTATGTCGTTTAGGCCCGTTTTTTCGGACGCTACGCGTAAAAACAGTCAGGGAAGCTATGCCTGGATGAAACAACTCGTCCAAACTAGTGTATTCAGCTCACCAGGAAGGTCGTTCAGGGCGTGCCCCGCTTTTTAGAAACGGTTTAACTTTGTAGGGCCTTGCCACGCATCCATAAAAGTTGGCTTTGCTTTTGGCCGAGGCGGCCCTAAGGAACGCCAAAAATTGAGCGAAGAGTACGTCTATAGTACCCCATAATGAGCGGACGCGTTTTACGCTATACTGGCGCCAAATTGCGTCGACGTCGAAATAAGTGTCAAAATCGTAATCAGGACCATCGATTACCCTTGTGGACGAACTTTCAGCCAAAAAATTTTTTTTTTCGATTTTTGGGTTTTGGTGGACCATTTTTGGTCAGGTAGTGAGTTGAACCGGAGTATCCCATCTTCGTGAAGACGATGATGCAGCGATGGCTTAGCACGCTGCCGGGCAGGACAGCAGACGGTGGAATGCCTCACTTTCTTTACTGTTTGCATGAATTTCATGGGCATTGTTACTTTTATCTTTGGATGTTAATAAAATAGGGTATCCCTATTTCGAGGCACTGTAAACTCCCATAGAAAGACTGTCGGGCACAACCCAACGCACACACCCAAAAAAGCATAAAAATTTTTTCGCCCGAAAGGCTGTTTACAGGGGTAATCGAGCGCCGCGAATTCATGCTTTTTTCACACTTATTTTCAGCGCCGAGCGTAATTTGGTGCTGAGGTAGCGCTCACAATCCCTTCTTTGAGGTAGCCAAACGCGTTCATTGGGAGAAACATGTCACTCCATATTAGCACGGTAGCTACAAATAAGTTCCATATTCGTGATTCGGGCATGGTCTGACCTACAAAGGTCAACTTTCAATTACGGTCTTGTTTAAGCAGTGATTTGCATTGTCATTTAAAATGTGCCCATAAATGGCAGTTATCGAACGCATACTCACGCACAGACATATTTGAACGCGAAAACAGCAAAACATAAAAAATGCAAAAACTCGCACGCCGAGGGTCGAACCATCAACCCCACCCCATGCTGACATTCCTCCGATCGTTGAAGAAACCATTCCATGAAGCCGTTCACGGTTGATTACGTGCCACAAGTAAGACCCCATACCCCGACCACTTTTCTCTTCGATTCCGATAGTACCTTAGGGCCCTCCATTCAGCAATGGTCAAAGTTGCCAGCGGTTTACAGACTCACAGGGCTTAACAATCACGTTTCCTAGAGTTTATTTTCGTACTCCTTTTTTGGCATTCCAGGGGCCGCTCAGCTAAAACGAAGCCCACTTTTACGGTTCATGGGCAAGGCCCTACAAAGTGCAATAAACCGTTTCGAAAAGCAGGCACGCCCTGAAGACCTCCCCTTGTCACTGAATCATTTAGAAGGCTTTGCAGTGTAAAACTGAGACACTATTAGTCAACAGTCACTGTTGTTGGTGAGCTATAAATCATGAATCCTTAAAGTTCAGTGATTCGGACGAGTTATCTAACTTGGTGGGCACGTACCCTTGTCTTCAGAACACGCGAATCGTAATGGGATCGCGCCAAACAACACCCCCAACCCACCGCCCCCCCCCCCACCCAAATGAAAAGTTTTGAGCAGGATCAATTTTCTAGAATAGAACCCTACAAAAATAAAACCCTTTTGTACACAGGAAAAAAATCACCGCGGGATCCGCACCGAAAAGTGAGGGTTTGAAATGTAGATTCGCGGTGTACCAGGAAGGCATCTTCCGATATCGAGTAAACCTTTGGGTAAGCATCCAGCTGTAACGACATATAGGTATAATATCTGCAAATAGGAAGTGCTGAACGAACTGCTTACGAATTTGAATAGATGCATTGAAAAAGGTAGGAGTGCCATTCCTGTTGCAGAATCCACGGTTCCGAGGAATCTTTGGATCGAACATTTTTGAAGGTAACCCGTAGCGGAACGCGGTAACATCTTGAAAATCAGATCGCCTCAAAAAGTCCATCGTGATCGACCTGGAACGGAAGCGTTGCAATCCTACGGACCCTCGTCATCCGCATTGTCAAGCAAAATCGGTTCACCTGCACATGGGACCTGCGAATATATCAAGTTCCCGTCCCTCCTCAAGCATTGGTGGAAAGAGCTGTCCATCCGTTCCTCTGATTTCTCGCGCATCAGCGGAATCCCACACAGATTCCGGCATTACAGACATATTGTTAAACGTGTATACCTGAAATTTCGCATTACTGTTATGTTTCTAGCGCAGAGCTGTGAAAAGAATCAATAGCGCATTCGAAAAAGACAGCTGTGAAAAGATGCGTCTTGGAATAAGCTTTTTGAGATTTACAGTGTACAGACTTGTAACCTGAGGTTTTGACGAGCTGCCCCTGGGAATCAGATTCCGTAGGAGCGCGAAAAAGGGATTACTAATGAAGAAGAGATGCGAGCAGCAAAGCAAGAAAACAATGGATTCACAGCTGGAGGTGGAAAATACAGGAGTAAAATGTAGAAAACGAAACATGATGATGACGCGAAGCGCCCCTGTAAAGCTTAATGGAATTGAACTTTAGCCTCCTTCATATCACTCCAGATTTATACTCGAAATTTCCTGAGATCGGGTAGGCGTGGCTGCGTACTTGATTTTAAAATGGCGGCGGCCCAGGTTTTCGTGAGATATTGTCATTTTGGACAGTCGATGTCTTCATCTAACATACAACAAGGTAGCAGTTGTTTCAAATGGAAGTATCCCACGAGAACCCCGTCCTATGCCATGCTCAAAAGCCACGCCTACTCCGTCTCAGGGATGAGGAGTGTACTTTGGTGTCGAAAGAACATAGTTTAAAAAAATACCTTTCCAATATTGTAAACATCATTGCGACCCGTGTCAACTTCGTATAAACCATCATCCGTGTTGTTTTGCTGAAAATCTGTACTTGTGCTGACAGCATGAAGAGTTCCAAAACGAATAAAGAAGGATTTACGAAAAACGTCGTACCCCATAGAAAAATCCAATGCGATCCGGAATCTTAGCACCTACACATAGCGCTTTCAAGAAGGGAGTTTTATCGCAAACTGCAGCGAGCAATGGATCTTTGTAACCATCGTACAATGCTTCTTTCACACTAACCTAAACGATAGGCACTTTAATGGCAATTTTATTAATGATACAATACACAACGTAATACAAATTTTCGGAAATAGAGCCATAGAGCCAACTTACTTCAATGAAAGGGGACTCCCTCTTATAAACCGTCAGGACAGCTTCTATGGCAAACTTTGCAGCGAATCCATGTTGTGCGAAGTCCACCAGTTTCTAAAGGCAAAGGCTTAGAAACACAAGGGTATACTGGCTAACTGTAAGTAATTCACCTGGAATATAACATTTGGAATTATAACATGTTTATCGAGAGAGCAACTGGCACATGATAGTGATTCATTGAAGGTATAAACATGGTTGTTTCGATAGAAAACCCTTGTGTCGTTTTTATCGAACTGATAAGGTGACTTATACTGACGTTCTCTGAAAAGAAATGGATGTCTCTGAGCTATGTTTTAGGAAACCGCTGAAATCGTTACAGGAATGTAAACGGTCCTATCTCTTGCACCCTTGGTTTTGCTCCACGAAGAACTTCCGCGTGATTCGTCAAATTGAACATCCAGATTTGTACTTGCATATGATATTCCGGATGTACCCATTTTTCCGTCATCGGGTTCAGACGTCTGGTACCGTTCAAGTCCTCATAGCCCAAACGATCCCTCTAAAAACCGTTTTCAAAGAAAATCATCCAGGATAGTAAGACTAGGTTCAAGTTTTCGGGAATGGTGCCGATCTGAGAATCTGTGAACGCAGGAAAATGCTCCCAGAGGAAAGTTTACGTTATCGGTCTGGCGAATTTCGCAAACTTGAAGACAACTCGAACTTTTGAGCATGATCCTCAGGAACTATGCAACCTGCACAGATAGAGGGCAGCGGCTACCAAAGCATCAAAATGTGCAAGGAATATGTGGCGATCCAGAATATGGGCTTTTTCAAAGGGAACGGACTCCGGGGTGGGTGAGCCATTTATTGTTTGTGAAAAGCTAAGTGTGCGCTTACATTGACTATAGAATGCCATACGGATGACTACTTATTGTTAGTGCAGAGAAAGGAGCAATACAGACGCATTCAACGGGGCTAAGTTCAGGTTATCTGGTCATCAGATGAAAGCGATTAAGTGGAAAAATCGACTTCCACTATCGAATCACGCAATCATCACATACGCGCATTCTCCCAAATCGCGGATTCGCCAGATCAGTACGTGAGCCTCTCTTGGGCGAATTCTCTGAAATAGAGCTTTCCGCGCCAGTCAAATATACTGGGGCATTTTGTGCAATAGTACGTCTGAACACTTTCGGAACTCAAATGATGCAGTTTGGACGCGCTCAGTTTCGGCTGCGAGCTCATTTACGAAGTGCCTAGATCGTTAAAACCTATATACAGGGGTTATTTAACATCCTGCTTACGAATATGACATTCATCTTGGCGCTGGCGCCAACAGAGGACACTACGATTATCTTCCGGGCTCAGCCTTAGCAGAACGCAAATAATTGTTGTGTCCTCCATTAGCGCCAGCGTAAAGAGCAATCAGGATGTTAAATAAGTCTCTATACATGTTTTCAGCGGATTTGGTGATCTAGGCACTTCATAAATGAGCCAGCAGTTGAAACTTAACGCGCCCAAACGGCGTCAGTCAGTCGACACTTCGTTTTTTATTCCTTTCTGAACACCAACTGGCCTGGAAACGGCAAAGGAACTATTGCGAGCCATAGGAATATAGCTTCTGCCTGAGCCTAGAGCGAAGAAACTCCATGGGTGGGCCACTTCACCCATTCCGTAGCTCCTCTTCTACGCTGGGGCAGGGAGCCTTCCTGTTCCGTTGCTTCGAATGCTTGCACCTAAATGTCCCCATGCACTCTACTGTCGCCGGGAACCCTCCAAATTCACAAAGAATGATTAGAGCCTAAGAAGCAACAGCCATTAAACGAACCGAAAGCATGGTCTTATCCACAAGTCCTCCGATAAGGGTGAGAGCTACAATACTGAGCAGGATGAAGAACAATCCGAAGACCATTAAACACACGAGACATATTTTCTCACACAGCGTCATGCAGACCACGTTCCAAAGAAAATCTGTAAAGATTGATGTATTCTTGCATCTGAAGTGGTACATTCTATACAATATAGAATCGATCTCAGTAGAGAAAGAGTAGTAAAAACTGTTAGTCAGCATCAACAACAAAACTCAGCATGAACAACAAAACAACTGCTATTGATGGGATGACTCAGACTTGAGCGCTATCAGCTGATCTGTGGTGCCTTTGCACAGCATGGAATAATTACGGCTCCATTTGTTAGTGAATGGGCGGAGCCTACAGCATCGTCTTTATTCTAAAAAAATATTTGTTCACTTATGATTAATGCCAAGGCATCTCTATCTCGAAAGGAAGTTTTATGTAGAACTAATCAATGGCAAAATTTCACAGTCATAAGGGGGTCCGCAATTGCACAACACGAGTTATAAAGAATCGGCTTTCAAATTACTCGAATGTATATGGCATCCGAAAAGTACGGAAATGTTTGGGCCAGGAATAGGAGTCCTACGCCTTAGAT